GCGAGCAGCAAATGCGAACGGGCGATGCGCGACTGCGTGCTGGGGACGATCGGCGAGCGTGACGTTGCACGAACAGGCGTCGGGCCTTTGTGCGGTGGTTCTGGGCTTCGCTGCTGGGAGCTGGGACGGCGACTGGCTGTGCGCGACTGCGGGTGGTGACTCGCGGTTGCGATCGGCTGGTCACGGATGGCTTCCGGCGGCGATGGCGATTTCCGACGATGGATCACGGCGGTGGACGGCGGTGATGATATGATGATGATGACCGGAATTATATGTATATTACAATCTCAATATATTGTACCAAAAAGCCTTCTAATGGATTACCTAAACACCTACTTCAATCAAACTTGGTGGAGCGTTTAATCGAATCTCCCTAACTCTCGAACAAAGATATTTCTCGCGCGTATGTAGAGAGAAAATTCGGCCAACCATCTATGTAGGAGAGGTTGGGACATGGTGTATTTATAGGCTCCATTAGGGACCTTAAGGAGGTGCTAAATATGGGCTTATTCCATTAGGCCTAGGAATCCTAATTCTAATCCAATACTAACTCAATGTAGGAAGGAGATCTCCTACTAATCCATCTCTTCTAGAAGACTCCTTAGTCTCCGAACACTAGAGAAGATCCTAGTAGGAATACCTTTCCTAATTAAATTAATAATCATGGAATAGAATTAATTCCTAATTTAGGAAACCTAATTTTACTCCAATTAATTATATAATGTAGGAAATATATTTCCTACTAATCTCCATCTTCTATAAGACTCCCAAGTCTCCTAATCCCAAGAGAAGATTCTAGTAGGAATTTTATTCTTCTAATTAATTAATTAATATGGAATAAAATTAATTCCTATTTAAAGGAATTAAATAATAAAACATCCCACTAGAGTAATATTATTGCTCTCCCCATTTAGCCACTATTTTACCAATAAAATTGAGTCTCCATGATTAAATAATATTAATTCGATTGATCGATTTACCTCCCTATGTTTAAGATATAACGTCCGTTGATTTATTAAATTACTGACAAAATAATTAATCAACTTCTTATTCATTTCCGAAATTAGTACCACTCAGATCCTTAACCATTATGTCAGACAATCGTCTACCTCCAGGGTTTAACATAACGTACATTCTTGAGCTCATTTCGGGGACGTCATCAATCCAGCGCACTGGAATATAGTGACCATAAATAATTTATAATAACACATCATATAATTATTCTTACTTACCAAAATACCTCGTATGTCATCCTAATAAAATAGGAATCACTTGGTAAATCAAATAAATAAGAAATAAAAATATGTGCCTATTTTATATTATCTTACAGCTTAAGAGAACGCATCAATCACTGAAGGATGAGGTTACAAATACGGTCAATGAGTCTCATAACCTTTGCCTTCCGCGGTCCTGTTCAACACTTAACATAAGTGCTAGTGTAATTCTCCAGTCAAAGACCAACTGAATCAAGAATACACTACAGTCTTTTTCCAAGTGGGGTCTCACTGCCAGTCTAGACTGTGAACGAATGATTTAGTCTTATAAGGAACCGATAGGTGATCTTTCTGTTCGAAACACTTCGAACCACACTAGCTCAATATAAGACATGGAGTATGTATTACATAAATAAATAAACTGCAAACATATGTACTTTGACTGAAACATGATGGCCAGATCAAAATGGAATTGATAGAATCTGCAAAACATAACTTTTACAGCATACCTCTAACATAAATAATGTCGCCAGATCTTGAGAGCATGAACTACCGCTGCTAGCTCCAAGTCGTGCGTAGGATAATTCTGCTCATGGGGCTTTAATTGGCGTGAAGCATAAGCTACGACCTGGCCATCTTGCATGAGTACGCATCCCAAACACTGTCGTGATTTTGAAGCATCACTAAAGATGGGAAACTCCGAGAAGGATCTGGAATAGTCAACACCGGTGCTGTGGTAAGCCTCTTTTTGAGCTCCTGAAAGCTAGATTCACATCGATCAGTCCACTCGAACTTCACAGATTTCCTCGTTAGCTGGGATAAAGGAAGGGCGATCTTGGAAAAACGTTCGATAAACCTGCAATAATAGCCTGCTAAACCGAGGAAACTGCGAACCTCAGATGGATTCTTTGGTGCTGACCAATTTTGAACAGCGGCAACCTTGGATGGATCAACCTCGATACCTGCCTGAGTAATTACATGGCCAAGAAAGGCTACTCGCTGGAGCCAGAATTCGCATTTAGAGAATTTAGCATATAAATTTTCACGTCTAAGGGTTTCAAGAACAACCCTCTGATGCTCTTCGTGCCTCTCTGGCTCCTGGAGTAGATTAGAAATCAATGAATACAATGATAAATTGATCGAGGTAACAATGGAAAATACGGTTCATCAAGTCCATAAACACCGCTGGAGCATTGCTGAGGCCAAACGGCATAACTACGAACTCATAATGACCGTACCAGGTACGAAAAGCGGTCTTTGCAATGTCTGACTCCTTAATTTTCAGCTGATGGTAACCTGATCGTAAATCAATCTTGGAAAACACACAGGCTCCCCTCAGCTGGTCAAATAAGTCATCAAGTCTGGGAAGCGAATATTTATTCTTGATAGTCAACCGGTTGAGATCCCGGTAATCGATACACATGCGCATAGAACTGTCCTTCTTTTTAACGAAAAGAACAGGTGCTCCCCATGGTGACATGCTCGGCCGAATAAAACCGAGTTTCAATAATTCCTGGATTTGAGTTTTTAGCTCTTGCAATTCTTTGGGAGCCATACGATATGGTGCTTTGGAAACTGGGTCGGCTCTTGGAATAAGATCAATAGAGAACTCTACCTGCCGGTTAGGTGGTCCTTCTGGAAGTTGGTCCGAAAACACATCCATAAACTCACGAACAATAGGAACATCATGAGGTGTCCGTGCCTTCGGTGTATCATCGACAAGACTCACAAGATAACCCTGACAATCGTCCCTACGTAACATCTTTTTGGCTTTCGCCATAGAAATAACATGAGGTAAAGAACGATTCTTAGTGCCAAAGAAAGTAATACAATCGTGTCCTGAAAGATAAAGAGTAATCTCCCGGTCATGGCATCGAATATCTGCATGAAAATATGTTAGCCAATCCATGGCAAGAATGAGGTCAAAGTCCCTCATCTCGAGAACATAGGCGTCGGTAGTCAAGATACGGCCACCGATAGAAAGGCTGAGATCTGTAGCTTTAGCTTCAGTCACTATCTTTCGTCCTGAGGCCAAAGTCACCTCAAGAGGACCGACATCGATAATAGAATGTACTCCGATGGCATCAAGACATCGTCGTGATATAAAAGAGTGGGTTGCTCCAGCATCAAATAGGGCAAAAACAGGAACATCGTTAAGCATAATCATCCCAGACATAGTACCTGGGTGTTGTTCTGCCTCATTCTGGTCTACAGCATAAACACGGGCCTGCTGTCTGCCCTTCTGCTACTGCTGGGGTGGTCTCGGGGCCTGTTGTCTGGGCTGCTGCTGCTGTGGCTGTTGTGGCTGCTGTCGTAGCTGCGGTCGTTCTGGGCAGTTGCTGACAAAATGTCCGGGCTGATGGCAATAATAGCAAATGTTCTGGCCGAAATAACACTCTCCACGATGGGGTCGTCCGCAAGTAGTGCATGGTGGAATCTGTTGTGGCCTGGCTGCACCTGGTTGTTTCAGACGGATCCTCCTGTCAGTCTGGCAACCTTTCCCCTTCCTCTTCTTGTCCTTTGGTTGTTGAACAGCAGCTGGTGGAATAGGTGGTGCTAAGGATGATTGGGCAAGGATAATTGGCTGAAGACAATCATGGTTGGCCTCCCTCCGAATGCTGGCGTCAACTTCCTGGCTATGGTGACAGTACGGGCATAGATCTGGATGCCGTGACCTACAATGTTATAACGAACTGCTGGCAAAAGCCCGCCAGTGAAACGCCTCGATCTCTTTGCCTCTGTGCTCACCAGATTGGGAACAAAGGCTCCAAGTCGAGTGAATTCTCACTCATACTCGTCCACTGTACGAGTACCTTGTTTGAGTGCCAGAAATTGACGCTCCATTTCAGCTCGATAGTACGCAGGATAATATTTCTCGCGAATTAACTCCTTGAACCTGTCCCACGTACTACCTTCTTTTTCACCGGGATGCATTCCCCAGTAGGCGTTCCACCAGAGACGTGTGTCATCCGTCAATTGGATCTGTGCGCATAAAACACGACACCGGTCGGAACAGTCCATGACCTCGAAAATCATTTCAAGGCCCTGAACCCATTCGTCAACAATTCGAGGGTCTCCCTGGCCGGAGAATTTTTCTGGATGGTAGTCGCGAAACTGGGCGACTACGGTGGCCTGGAGAACCTCCTGATGGTCTGACTCTCTACGTGGCGGCATCTGAATAAACGTTCAACATTATCGGACATAGAAAAAATACTTTAACTGATGAATAAAGCGCACAAATCTCTTGACGAGTTGCTAAACATGACCTCAGAATTACTAACATTGAATCATGAATACACTGGACTATAACTCCTGAACATAATTCGAGCATCATAACTGAGCCATAACTGTGGTTTTTACTGAGCATAGACATAGTCATTTGTTTAAAATTTTAAAACATGAATCAGCACTTACCTGTAGTCGACGAGGCATGAGCGTGACGTATTCAGGTTTTATAAAAAAAATTCTGACTCATAAAAGTTTTCAGAGACGCAGAAACGTGATCTGATACCAACTGTAACACCCCGCTATGTCATAAATATCAGAGTTAAATTTTCGCAAAATATTACTTGAAAAACACTTTATTATTTGCGAAATCGTAGTTCGGAGTGCTACCATAACTGTAACTTTCCGTTGAAACTCGTTAGTTTAGTTTTAAAGAAAATAGATTATCATAATATAAACAATCCGACTGGTAAATCGGACCAAAAGGCTAAGTTTGACAAACAGTGAAGATCAGCGGAAAACGTAGCGTGGCAAAATATTTAACTCCACTACGGGAGATAGTAACAGCACTGATATGCCAAATTCAAACTATATAAACATGATTCTGAACTGCCCGTCAGCTCACACCTCCGGTCCAACTCTGTGACCTGAAAACATAGATAAACATGGGGCGTGAGCACTAAATCCACTATGCTCCGTAGGAACTCATACTAAAGTAAACAGTGAAAATAATTGCAATATCATGATCCTGGTATATATATATAAACATAGCATAATACCAGTAACCATTGCCATCACATGACCGTTGCCTCATAACCGTTACCTTATCTGCCAGCATGAAAATGTCGGACACCATGTGCGCACTCTAGTGGGCAGACTAGGCCACTAGAACCCAGAATGGACCGACGACCATTCCAAGCAGATACATAACATAACGTGACATGATACATACCTCAAACATGGTAGAGTAATTCTAATCAATGTAATAACCAGTCTGAGTCCCCACCTGAATCGTCGATATAAAACTGGAAGTGCTGATGATCGTGAACTATTCAAACTGTAACATAAGATAAACAAATACTAAGTACTATGCTCAGACTTAATAAATTTAGCTGTAAAGATGCTCGACTTGAACTTGACATGACATCTAGACTTAACCGGTATAACCGGAACCGGTTTAAAATGGAAGTGGACTAACATGAAATTACTGAACCTGAGCGGACCTGGAATTTAACTGAAATCCTGACATAAACATGAATCGGATCATTATATACTGAAATCTAAGCTAAACCGGTCTGAACCGGCTGGTTCGCTGGCTGGCCGGACCGCCGGTCCGCTGTGGCCGGACGATCGGCCTCTGGCTTGGCCAACCGGCTCGGTCCCATGCTGGGCTTGCTGGAGCCTGGGCGCGGTCGCTGGCATGGACTGGGCGCGGCATGAGGCTGTCGGGCCTTGTTGAGCATGACTTGGGCACGGGCATGGTCGTTCGCGCACGCTGGCGTGCCACTGGGCACAGCCGGCGTGCACTGAACTTTGCTGGCACAACTGACAATCACTAGGCGCATGACATGATGACTGACGCTGCCGGGCGCTATAGGCGCCGGCACTTGCGCGACTTGCGTTGTTGGGCGCTACCGAGCGCCGCAACAGGCGACTGGCATGGACGCTGAGTGCATGACTGGCATGACGGGTGCCCATCGGGTGCTGCCGAGCAACCCTGACGGCACATGGCACTCGGGCATGCTGTCGGGCACTTGCCGAGGCCGACTGGCATGCTGTTGGGCGCACTGACGTGCGCTGGGCGTGCTGGCGTGCGCTAGGCACTGCCAACTGACGACTTGCTGCGGGTAGGAGCTATGCGCACGTCCAACTGGCATACGCGCACTATCTGCACGGCCTGTCTTGACTGTCGGCGTGCTGTGCTTGTTACATGCAAGCATGGAGACTACGACCGATCCTTATCGGCCGTCCGGCGACTACTTCCGACAACATTAACTTAAAATGATATAATATAACATGACATGAACAAATATACATAATTCACTCGAAGGATCATGAGTACAACTATATATGGGGTGCGCGATATGCGTAGCCCACGACTCCGACCGATTCTCTTGGTCGTTTGACAACTTCATTTGACAACTTTAACTTATGAATAAATACATGTAAAACAGTCGGATGATCATGAATATAACTCAATGAGACATGAATGGCCGTGGCGTGCGCTACGTGCGCCGTCCACGACTTCAAGCTATTCCTTCGACCAATTAACAACTTTTCACGACAAGTGATATATGACTGGACATATTATATCTAATAATGACTATTGGAACGTAAATCGCTCGGGAGTTGCCGACTGAAAACGGACATGGCTCGACATGGCTTGAATGACTTAAACCTAGCATAACTTGACTTCTTCATGAATTAAACACCATGACTTAGACTTAATATGATCATGTTAGCACTAAAAGAAGGTAAGAAGAAGTTACCTTCTCAATCGCACGAAGAAAATAAACGAACTGGCTTGTGCGTGACCTCTTGGATCCTTGCTTGCGTGCGTGTAAGTGAAGAAATATCCTAATCTTTCTTAACTTTGGCTTAGTTTCTCTCAAGGCTTTCTTATTATTTGCTTTAAGTATAAGGTAAAATTTACCAAACTCTTCACTTAAATAGATGGCCGAAAGGGAAGTAAAATCGGTGAAAAATAAGAGGAAAAATTATGGCCAATGATCTCACACCACTTGCCATTCATTGAATAGTCTTGGTGGCTTTCCTTGCTTAGTCATTGCTAGGTGGCAAATGAAGACATAGATTAGTCATCATCTTAAGCTTAATTGAATGCCACATAAACTAGCAAACAATGGGTGATTTACACGTGCACTTGCTCAAATATCTCACGGCAATTTGGACGAATTAATCTTCCTTAAGCATGATTAGAACATGATTAAGCTCAAAATGGGTCTTAGCATATGATGGAACATAAATTAACTTATTGTATATAAAATTACTTAAAAATTATTATGGGCATAGACGAGGATATTACAGGATTAAACACGTAATTTACATTAATAACATAACGGGCTATTACACTTATACTAAAGATAAACTTTTAGTATATAAACACATGCCACAACACTTCTCCCACTTATACTCAAAGTCTAGTTGCAACACATCGTAAACCAAGACTCTCTACGTGTTTCTCGAAGACATTGACAGTCAGAGTCTTCGTGAAAGGATCAGCTAGGTTATCCAACGATGCTATCTTCGTCACAACCACATCTTCTCGTTTTACGATCTCTCGTATAAGGTGGTACTTTCTCTCAATGTGTTTACTGGCCTTATGTGCTCGGGGTTCTCTCGAGTTTGCGACTGCACCAGCGTTGTTACAATAAATTATGATACACCTACGCACACTCGAAGATACCCCTAAGTCCAGTAAGAAGCTCCTGAGCCTAACAGCCTCATTTGTTGCTTCTGAAGCAGCAACGTATTCGGGTTCCATGGTAGAATCTGCGATGCATTTCTGCTTCACACTCCTCCATGACATCGCTCCGCCTCCCATCATAAACGCATAACCCGAGGTCGACTTTCTCTTATCTCGATTAGCTTGGAAATCAGAATCTGTGTAACCCAAAGGAGTTAGACCGTCTGACTGTTAAACAAGCATATAATCCTGAGTTCTTTTCAGATACTTGAGAATATGCTTCACCACCGTCCAGTGTCCTTGACTAAGGTTAGACTGATATCTCGCTACCATGCCAACTGCATAGCAAATATCAGGCCTCGTGCACAGCATGGCATACATAAGGCTTTCTACAGCCGAAGCATAAAAAACCTTAGCCATTTCCTCTATCTCCTTTGGTATCTTCGGACACATATCCTTAGATAGAGGAACTCCATGACGAAAAGATAGCAACCCTTTCTTAGAGTTCTGCATGCTGAAACGAGCAATCACAGTATCAATGTAAGCAGCTTGAGATAAACACAACATTCTCTTCTTCCTGTCATGAATGACCTTGATTCCAAGAATGTACGATGCCTCACCCAAGTCCTTCATTTGAAACTATTCTGAAAGCCATACCTTTATGTCTGACAAAATCTTGAAATCGTTGCCGATGAGAAGAATATCATCTACGTATAGTACTAAGAATATCACTACGTTTCCATTGCTCTTTTTGTACACACAACTTTCGTCTTGACATTGATCAAATCCATAGGACTTGATCACCTCGTCAAAATGAATGTTCCAAGACCTAAAAACTTGTTTTAGTCCATAAAGAGACTTCTTTAGCTTCCATACTCGATGCTCTTGGCCTTTCTTCACATAACCCTCGAGTTGCTGCATATAGATGTCTTCATCCACGTTTCTGTTAAGGAAAGCTGTCTTGACATCCATTTGCCAAACCTCATAGTCCATGTGACTTGTTATGGATAAGAGAATCCAGATCAACTTAAGCATGGCTACCGGTGAAAAGGTCTCATCATAATTGATTCCCTCTTTTTGAGTGAAACCCTTCGCAACCAACCGTGCTTTGAAGGAAATAACCTTCCCGTAAGATCCTCTCTTACGCCTATAGACCCATTTGCACCCATTGGCTTTCTTGCCTTCAGAAAGGTCCCTAAGATCGTATGCATCCATAGCATCTATAGATTCAATCTCAGAATCCATAGATTTCTGCCAAGAATCTGCATCTACATCTTGGATTGCCTCATTGTAGGTTCAGGGATCACTATCATGCTCTTCACTTGGGATCAAGTCCGAAGACTCTCCCACAAACATGAATCGATCGGGCTGACAAACAATCCTCCCACTACGACGAGGCAATTCAGGTGTAAATACATCAGATACAACATGTTGTGCAGTCTCTTGTGGTATATCCTCTTGCACACTCGGTATGCAATTGTATGCCCTCAACTCTTTGAGAATAATCTAACTATTGGACTTATGCTCACTCATATAGTCTTCCTCTAAAAATCGGGCATTGGTGCTAACCACTACCCTCTGATCTTTAGGACTATAAAAGTAACCACCTCTCGTTCCTTTTGGGTAACCTACAAACAGCCGTACTTCTGTTCTAGGTGCCAACTTATCAGCTTCCTTATCCAACACATGTGTTGGGCAGCCCCAAATCCGAATGTGGTTTAAACTGGGCTTGCGCCCGGACCACAATTATATTGGAGTTTTTGGAACTGATTTAGAAGGTACAAAGATAAGAAGGTACGCCGCCGTTTCTAAGGCATATCCCCAAAACGACGCAGGTAATAAAGCATAGCTCATCATTGATCTCACCATTTCCAACAGAGTCCTATTCCTTCTCTCTGTTACGCTATTCTATTGGGGAGTATCAGGCATAGTCAGCTGGGATGTAATCCCATTCTCTAATAAGTATTGTCTAAATTCATTGCTGAGGTATTCGCCACCACAATCAGATCGCAGTGACTTGATACTTTTTTCTTGACGGTTCTCCGCTTCTGCCTTGAATTCTCTGAACTTGTCAAAGCATTCAGACTTGCGACACATCAAGTAAATGTACCCATATCTTGAGTAACCGTCAATAAAAGTAACGAAATACTCAAAACCACCTCTAGCTTGAATAGACATAGGCCCACACAAATCAGAGTAAATCAATTCCAACACATCATTGGACCTATTCCCCTTGGCCTTAAAGGGCCTAGAAGTCATCTTGCCTTCCAAACAGCATTCGCAGACTAGAAATGGTTCAACTTTGAGAGAGTCCAAGAAGCCATTACCTACCAGCCTTTGGAACCTCCTTAGATTGACATGACCCAATCTTAGGTGCCAAAGATATGTCTGATTCGACTGAGAAGGTTCCTTTCTCTTGTTTAGTGATGAAGATGCATGAGCCTCAGTCACAGTATGATATGCACAAGTAATAGTATAAAGATTGTTAACCAACATGCCAGAACAGATAAAAGAGTTATTTCTCATAATAACGACATTGTCATTAAAAATAACTGAATATCCATCCAAAAACAACTTCGGAACTGAAATTAAATTCTTCCGAAAACTCGGCACGTACAAAACGTTCTTTAATACTAAAATAGAATCAGAAAATGATAAATGCACATCTCCCACTGCAACCACCGCCACTCGTGTAGCGTTGCCCAAGCTGATGGTAATCTCGCCCTCACTGAGCTACCTTCTTTGCAGAAACCCCTGTAAAGTATAACCAACATGATCAGTGGCTCCTGTATCTACTACCCAAGAACTGGTAGAACAAGCCACAAAACATGTTTCGACAACTAAAGCAAGAGACATACCAGGAACATCCTTGAGGGGACAATCTGTCTTCTAATGTCCTGTCTTGTTGCACTTGAAGCACTTGCCTTTCGGCTTCACCACGCCACCAGAAGCCACTACAGCCTTGCTCCCACCATTCCCACTGCTCCCACTGGTTCACAAATCTTTTTTTGCACTTGCTTTTTTTTCTTCCCGCCTTTCGACGAAGAAGGTCCAACTTGTACAGAAACATGATCTTGTGGTCCCCTTCCCATAAGACCCTCCGCTGCAACCAAGTCCGTAAGAAGCTCGGCCAAAGTATAGCCCTTCTTATTCATGATTTCATTCAGGCGGAAGTTCTCATAGGACTTCGGGAGCGAGTGCATGATGATATCGATCTTGGCTTCGCCATCGATATTTCCTCCGAGCAAATCTATCTCATTCAGATATTCCATCATCTTGAGAACATGCACTCGCACAGAAGCTCCCTCTGCCATGACAGAAGACATAATCTTCCTCATAGCCTCAAACCGAGCAGCCCTATCTTGCTCACCAAAGAGTTCCTTGAGGCTCAA